AGAACACTAAATACTTCGATATCAGTTTTTTATGTTTAATATATATATAGTTTTTTTACATCAATGATCGAAAGAAGAAAAATAATACAGATGAAAATATACATCAAATATTTAAAGATTTACAGTCTAAATTAGATATACAAACTTTATTTTTCTCTCTCTGCAGTTTAGAATCTTTCCGTTCTGTATAATGATACTAGCTTATGTACAATACAAACTCAATCTCTTATCCAAATTCACAAATCTCTCAAGTATAGAATAAATCAAATTATATTACTCATTGACTAGTCATTAATACTAAAAGTACAGGTTTACCGTTATAAAAGCATTCATATATTTTCTGTAATCCGATTTTAATCCGTTGCTGGATTCTAGAATGATATCGCTAACATCAAAATGATGTTGATTTTTTTTTTTTTTTTATGTATAATCACCTGACTTTGTGGAATTCTGGATAAATCGCAAATATATATAGATATCTTTTTTTCTATAATTGTTATTGTTTTTTTTTACCGTGATTATGCTATAATTAATGTACTGTCATCCTTATTATGTTTATGCCATGACAGATCTGCATCGATCAGTCCACAAACTTTATACAGTCATACCATTAACGTGAAAATAAAAAAGATTCACGTATAATGTTTATCTTTCTTTTTATTCATTTACTTATCTACTTTTTTGTTATTTCTTATAGTGATGGAAGGGGGTGGGAGGGAGTTCTTATGTTCTACAGCTTATGTTCTACGTGATGTTCATCTTCTTGTTCAGTATAACTACAAGAACGGTTGTACCAAATCCGCGTGCAGTCCCGTGTTTAGCAGAACGGCAACAGTTGCCAGAACCAGAGAGAAACAGCTGGTTGACGTTCTTGGGGCACTGCTCCCTGCAAGAAAATTGATCGATTGAAAAAGCATTGAAGAAATATTTACCTTTATGCATATGTAAAATAGGGATGGAAATCTGAGAATCGTAAAAAGAAAAAAAAAAAAAGAATGAAAATTTATATCAATTGATCATAACATAATCAAGAATTTTGAAAACTGAAAAAAATGCTGAAAATTAATAGATTGAAAAAGCATTGTATAAATATTTATCGTTATTCATATGTGAGATAGGAATGTAAAAAAAAAAAAAAAAAAAAAAAAAAAAAAAAAAAAAAAAAAAAAAAAAAAAATATATATATATATATATATATATATATATATATATATATATATATATATATATATACAATGTATCATTCCAGCATTATTGATCATAGCAACATTATCAAGAAATTTGAAAATTGAAAAAAATGCTGAAAATTAATATATTAAAAAAATATATAAATATTTGAAAAATGTGAAAAAAGAAAGAGGAAAATTTAAATTAATTGATCATCACAGCATTATCATAAATTTAGAAAATTGAAAAATTGCTGAAAATTTATAGATTGAATAAAAAAAAAACATTGTACAAAAATGTGGCATTCAAAAATGTGAAAAAGAAAAGAAGGAAAAAAAAAAATGTTAATGATCATAACAGCATCATCAAAATTTTGAAGAATGAAAAAAATGCTGAAAAATATTAGATTGAAAAAGCATTGTACAAAAAATACCGGCATTCATATGTGACAGAAATCTGAGAAAAGAAAGAAAAAAAAGGTCATGATTTTGAAAAAAATAAAACAAAAATATAATTCAATCAGTATTTTCCAAACATTTCCCGTCATTCATAAGTGAGATAAAAGGAAATAGAGAAATACTTAAAAGGTAAAGACATTAGTGATTATAAAAGCACTGATGAGAATTTTAAAGATTGGCAATTACCAAAAACGAAAAAAAAACAGTAATAAACAATTTACCGCCATTTATAAGGGAGAAAGAGGTGGGAAGTTGAAAAATGCAAAAAAAAAAAAAAAAAAAAAAAAAAAAAAAAAAAAAACACACTAGTGATCCTTATGCTTCATCTCCTCAATAGAGAGAAGGAAAAAAAGGGTGAATAATCAACAAACACAAATAAAGAAATAAATAAAATATCCAAATGACACGCCACTCCCACCCACCGAAGAAATAGGAGTGGTCCTTGTGCCTCCTCAATAGAGAGAGAAGGAAGAATAAAAAAAAATAAAAAAAAAAAAAAAACTTCCTCAATATTAGAAGGAAGTAAAAGAATAAAAAAAAATAAAAAAAAAAAATAAACAAACACCCACCGACCGAATAGAAAGAAGGAATAAAAAGGAAGAAATATATCGTGCCAAACGAGATTAGAAGGAAGAAAAAGGAATAAAAGAAAATAAATAAAAAAATAAACAAACACCCACCGAAGAAATAGGAGTGGTCCTTGTGCCTCCTCTCCTCAATAGAGATTAGAAGGAAGTAAAAGGAATAAAATAAAATAAATAAAAAAATAAACAAACACCCACCGCAGAAATAGGAGTGGTCCTTGTGCCTCCTCTCCTCAATAGAGATTAGAAGCAAGAAAAGGAATAAAAAAAAAAAAAAAAAAAAATAAACAAACACCCACCGAAGAAATAGGAGTGATCCTTGTGCCTTCTCTCCTCAAAGAGAAGAAGGGTAAAAAAGGAATAAATAAATAAAAAATAAACAAACACCACCGCCCCTCCTCTCCTCAATAGAAGATTAGAAGGAAGTAAAAGGAATAAAATAAAATAAAAAAAAAAAATAAACAAAACCCACCGAAGAAATAGGAGTGGTCCTTGTGCCTCCTCTCCTCAATAGAGATTAGAAGGAAGTAAAAGGAATAAAAAAAAATAAAAAAAAAAATAAACAAACACCCACCGAAGAAATAGGAGTGATCCTTGTGCCTTCTCTCTCAAGAGGATTAGAAGGAAGAAAAAATAAAAGAACAAATAAAATAAAAAAAATAAACAAACACCCCACCGAAGAATAGGAATCCTTTGCCTCCTCTCCTCAATAGAGATTAGAAGGAAGTAAAAGGAAAAAAGAAAATAAAAAAAAAATAAACAAACACCCACCCGAAGAATAGGAGTGGTCCTGGCCTCTCCTCAATAGAGATTAGAAGGAAGTAAAAGGAATAAAATAAAATAAATAAAAAATAAACAAACACCCACCGAAGAAATAGGAGTGGTCCTTGTGCCTCCTCTCCTCAATAGAGATTAGAAGGAAGTAAAAGGAATAAAAAAAAAATAAAAAAAAAAAATAAACAAAAAACCCACCGAAGAAATAGGAGTGATCCTTTGTGCCTTCTCTCCTCAATCGAGATTAGAAGGAAGAAAAGGAATAAAAAGAAAATAAATAAAAATAAACAAACACCCACCGAAGAAATAGGAGTGGTCCTTGTGCCCTCCTCTCCTCAATAGAGATTAGAAGGGAAGTAAAAGGAATAAAATAAAATAAAAAAAAATAAACAAACACCCACCGCAGAAATAGGAGTGGTCCTTGTGCCTCCTCTCCTCAATAGAGATTAGAAGGAAGTAAAAGGAATAAAAAAAAATAAAAAAAAAAATAAACAAACACCCACCGAAGAAATAGGAGTGATCCTTGTGCCTTCTCTCCTCAATCGAGATTAGAAGGAAGAAAAGGAATAAAAGAAAATAAATAAAAAATAAAACAAACACCCACCGAAGAAAATAGGAGTGGTTCCTTGTGGCCTCCTTCTCCTCAATAGAGATTAGAAGGAAGTAAAAAGGAATAAAATAAAAAATAAATAAAAAAATAAACAAACACCCACCGCAGAAATAGGAGTGGTCCTTGTGTGCCTCTCTCCTCAATAGAGGATTAGAAGGAAGTAAAAGGAATAAAATAAAATAAAATAAAAAAAATAAACAAACACCCACCGAAGAAATAGGAGTGGTCCTTGTGCCTCCTCTCCTCAATAGAGATTAGAAGGAAGTAAAAGGAATAAAAAAAATAAAAAAAAAAAATAAACAAACACCCACCGAAGAAATAGGAGTGATCCTTGTGCCTTCTCTCCTCAATCGAGATTAGAAGGAAGAAAAGGAATAAAAGAAAATAAATAAAAAATAAACAAACACCCACCGAAGAAATAGGAGTGGTCCTTGTGCCTCCTCTCCTCAATAGAGATTAGAAGGAAGTAAAAGGAATAAAATAAAATAAATAAAAAAATAAACAAACACCCACCGCAGAAATAGGAGTGGTCCTTGTGCCTCCTCTCCTCAATAGAGATTAGAAGGAAGTAAAAGGAATAAAATAAAATAAAAAAAAAAATAAACAAACACCCACCGAAGAAATAGGAGTGGTCCTTGTGCCTCCTCTCCTCAATAGAGATTAGAAGGAAAGTAAAGGAATAAAATAAAATAAAAAAAAAAATAAACAAACACCCACCGAAGAAATAGGAGTGATCCTTGTGCCTTCTCTCCTCAATCGAGATTAGAAGGAAGAAAAGGAATAAAAGAAAATAAATAAAAAATAAACAAACACCCACCGAAGAAATAGGAGTGTCCTTGTGCCTCCTCTCCTCAATAGAGATTTAGAAGGAAGTAAAAGAATAAAATAAAATAAAAAAAAAATAAACAAACACCCCACCGCCAGAAATAGGAGTGGTCCTTGTGCCTCATCAATCGAGAATTAGAAGGAAGTAAAAGGAATAAATAAATATAAATAAAAAAATAAACAAACACCCACCGCAGAAATAGGAGTGGTCCTTGTGCCTCTCCTCAATAGAGATTAGAAGGAAGTAAAAGGAATAAAATAAAATAAATAAAAAATAAACAAACACCCACCGAAGAAATAGGAGTGGTCCTTGTGCCTCCTCTCCTCAATAGAGATTAGAAGGAAGTAAAAGGAATAAAATAAAATAAAAAAAAAAATAAACAAACACCCACCGAAGAAATAGGAGTGGTCCTTGTGCCTTCTCTCCTCAATAGAGACAAGGAAGAAAGAGGAATAAAATAAAACAAATAAAAAAATAAACAAACACCCACCGAAGAAATAGGAGTGGTTCCTTGTGCCTCCTCAGTAGAGATAGAAGGAAGGAAAAAGGAATAAATAAAAAAAGAAGAAAAAGAATAAATAAAACAAATAAAATAGACAAACACACCGAAGAAATAGAGTGGTCCTTGTGCCTCCTCTCCTCAATCGAGTATTTAGAAGGAAGAGAAAGGAATAAAATAAAATAAATAAAAAAAATAAATAAACAAACACCCACCGAAGAAATAGGAGTGATCCTTGCTGCCTTCTCTCCTCAATAGAGACAAGGAAGAAAGAGGAATAAAATAAAAACAAATAAAAAATAAACAAACACCACCGAAGAAATAGGAGTGGTCCTTGTGCCTCCTCAGTAGAGATTAGAAGGTAAGAAAAAGGAATAAAAATAAAAAAAGAAGAAAAAGAAAATAAATAAACAAATTAAAAAATAGACAAACACCCACCGAAGAAATAGGAGTGGTCCTTGTGCCTCCTCTCCTCAATCGAGATTAGAAGGAAGAGAAAGGAATAAAATAAAATAAATAAAAAAATAAATAAACAAACACCCACCGAAGAAATAGGAGTGATCCTTGTGCCTTCTCTCCTCAATAGAGACAAGGAAGAAAGAGGAATAAAATAAAACAAATAAAAAATAAACAAACACCCACCGAAGAAATAGGAGTGGTCCTTGTGCCTCCTCAGGAGAGATTAGAAGGAAGAAAAAGGAATAAAATAAAAAAAGAAGAAAAAGAAATAAATAAAACAAATAAAAAATAGACAAACACCCACCGAAGAAATAGGAGTGGTCCTTGTGCCTCCTCTCCTCAATCGAGATTAGAAGGAAGTAAAAGGAATAAAAAAAAATAAAAAAAAAATAAACAAACACCCACCGAAGAAATAGGAGTGGTCCTTGTGGCCTCCTCTCCTCATCGAGATTAGAAGGAAGAGAAAGGAATAAAATAAAATAAATAAAAAAATAAATAAACAAACACCCACCGAAGAAATAGGAGTGATCCTTGTGCCTTCTCTCCTCAATAGAGACAAGGAAGAAAGAGGAATAAAATAAAACAAATAAAAAATAAACAAACACCCACCGAAGAAATAGGAGTGGTCCTTGTGCCTCCTCAGTAGAGATTAGAAGGAAGAAAAAGGAATAAAATAAAAAAAGAAGAAAAAGAAATAAATAAAACAAATAAAAAATAGACAAACACCCACCGAGAGAAATAGGAGTGGGTCCTTGTGCCTCCTCTCCTCAATCGAGATTAGAAGGAAGAGAAAGGATAAAATAAAATAAATAAAAAAATTAAATAAACAAACACCCACCGAAGAAATAGGAGTGATCCTTGTGCCTTCTCTCCTCAATAGAGACAAGGAAGAAAGAGGAATAAAATAAAACAAATAAAAAATAAACAAACACCCACCGAAGAAATAGGAGTGGTCCTTGTGCCTCCTCAGTAGAGATTAGAAGGAAGAAAAAGGAATAAAATAAAAAAAGAAGAAAAAGAAATAAATAAAACAAATAAAAAATAGACAAACACCCACCGAAGAAATAGGAGTGGTCCTTGTGCCTCCTCTCCTCAATCGAGATTAGAAGGAAGAGAAAGGAATAAAATAAAATAAATAAAAAAATAAATAAACAAACACCCACCGAAGAAATAGGAGTGATCCTTGTGCCTTCTCTCCTCAATAGAGACAAGGAAGAAAGAGGAATAAAATCAACAAATAAAAAAATAAACAAACACCCACCGAAGAAATAGGAGTGGTCCTTGTGCCTCCTCTCCTCAATCGAGATTAGAAGGAATAAAAAGAAATAAAAGGAGAGAGAGAAAAAAAAAGAAATAATCAACAAACACACACACAAAAAAATCATAATAATAAAATGATAAATAAATAAGAAATAAATACCCACCGAAGAAATAGGAGTGGTCCTTGTGCCTCCTCTCCTCAATCGAGATTAGAAGGAAGAAAATGGAATAAAATAAAATAAATAAAAAAATAAACAAACACCCACCGAAGAAAGGAGGAGTGATCTTGTGCCTTCTCTTCCTCCATCGAGATTAGAAGGAATAAAAGAAATAAAAGGAGAGAGAGAGAAAAGAAAAATAATAATCTCGCACCCACCGAAGAAATAGGAGTGGTCCTTGTGCCTCTTCTCCTCGATAGAGATTTAGAAGGAAATAAAAAGAAAATAAAAGGGAGAGAGAGAGAAAAAAAAGAAATAATCTCGCACCCACCGAAGAAATAGGAGTGGTCCTTGTGCCTCTTCTCCTCGATAGAGATTAGAAGGAATAAAAAGAAATAAAAGGAGAGAGAGAGAAAAAAAAGAAATAATCTCGCACCCACCGAAGAAATAGGAGTGGTCCTTGTGCCTCTTCTCCTCGATAGAGATTAGAAGGAATAAAAAGAAATAAAAGGAGAGAGAGAGAAAAAAAAATAATATCTCGCCACCACCGAAAATAGGAGTGGTCCTTTGTGCCTCCTCTCCTCCGCCTGCGTGTGCTTGAAGAATCCCGTTTCGATGACTGACGTCTCCTGCGACTGGAAGTAGATGGTGGCGATCTTGGCGACGCACTTGAGACGCAAGTCGCCGCCGGGGAAGTGGCTGCGTTTGGTGACGAAGGTGAGGCCCAGAACCGCCGTCTCCAGGCCGTCCGGTTCCTGCTGGGCCGGGTACCGACGGAGCCAGCTGGGCTTTCTCTGCGGGGGGAGGAAGGTAGGGAGGGGGGAGGAAGGGGGAGAGTTAAGGAGGGGGTGTGGATGGGTGGAGGGGGAGGGGGAGAGATAAGGAGGGGGGGAAAGTTAAGGGGTGTTGGGGAGGGGGGGAGGAAGGGGAACAAATAAGGAGGGGGGAGGAAGGGGGAGAGTTAAGGGGTTGGGAGGGGGAGGGGGTGGGTGGGTGGAGGAAGGGGGGAGAGTTAAGGGGTGTTGGGGGAGGGGAGGTGGGGTGAGGGATTACGAGGGGAGAGTTAAGGGGTGTTGGGGTAGGGAGTGGGGGGGTGAGTTAAGGGGTGTTGGGGGAGGGGGTGTTAAGGGTGGGAAGGTGTGGGTGGGTGGGGGGAAGGGTGTGGGTGGGTGGGTGGGGATAGGGTGGGGTGTTAGGAAAGAAGGAGAAGTTAAGGAGGGGTGTTAGTTGAGAGGAGGAGGTGTGGGTGGGTGGGGTGGGGTGGGGTTAAGAAGAGGGAGAGTTAAGGAGGGGTGTTGGTGGGAGGGAGGTTTGGGGGTGGGGGAGGTGTAGGGGCGAGAAGAGTAAGGGAGTGTTGAGGGAGAGATAAGGGTGTTGGGGAGGGGGAAGGGGTGTTGAGGGTGGGGGAAGGGGATTCAGAGGGAGAGTAAGAGGGTTTTAGGGATTTGTGAGGTGCAGATGGGGGAGGGGGTATTGAGGTAGGGGAAAGGGGAGGAAAGAGGGGAGTTGAGGAAGGAGGAAGAGGAGTAAGAGGGTGAGGAGGAGGGAGATGTTGGGGGAAGGGGAGGGGGTTAAAGAAAGAGGGAGAGTAAGGGAATGTTCAGGGAGAAGGGGGGGAGATAGGGGTGAGGGAGGAGGAAAGAGTTAAGGGGTGAGGGAGGTTAAAGAGAGATGGGGGAGGGTGGGGTGGCGGGAAGGGAGAAAGGTTTTATTAGGGTTGGTATGATTCATCATCATATATTTTAATTATCACATTAACATTACTACTATCATTGTCATATTATTCTCTCTATTTCTCTATCTATATATCCACTTATCTATCCATCTCTCCTTCCCACTCTTTCTCCCATCCCTCCTACTTCCCCTTCACTCTTCCTCTCCTCCCATCCTTTCTCATTCCCTCTTTTCCACCCTCTCTGCCTCTGTCCCTATCTCCCTCCCTCCCTTCCTCCCTCCCTCCCTTCCTTCCTCCCTCCCTCACTCCCTTCCTCTCCCTGCTTCCTTCCTTCCTCCCTCACTCCCTTCCTCCCTCACTCCCTCCCTCCCCTCCTGCTTCCCTTCCCTCCTCTCTTATCGCTCTCCCTCACTCGCTTTTTCCTTCCCTCACCCTTCTACTCTCCTTCTCTCTCTCTCGCCTCTCCCTCCCCTCCTTTTCTCTCTCCCTCACCCCTAATTTCCCTTCCTCCCTTAACCCCTCCTCTCTCCCTCCCTTCACCCCTCCTCTCCCCTCACCCCTTCCTTTTTCCTCCTTCCTTTCCCTCGCCCCTCCTCTCCCCTTACTCCTCCTCTCTCTCTCCCCCCCCCCTTCTTTTCCCTTCCTTCCCCCACCCCTCTCCCTCTCATCCCTCCTCCCCCTCTCTTACTCTTTCCTTCTACCCTCTTCGATCTCCTCGTCTCCACTCCCTTCTCTCACCCTCATTTCCACTCCACTTATTCTTCCTTTCCCTACCCTCCTATCCCCTACACTCCCCTTTCTCTCTCCCCCACCCCTCCCTCTCCTCCCTTTCTCTCTCCCATCCCTTCATTTTCCCTCCCTCCCTTTCCGCACCCCTCCTCTCCTCTACTCCACCTCTCTCTCTCCCTTTGTCTCAATCCTCACCCTCCTCACCCCCCTTCCTCTCTTCCTCACCCCCCCTCTCCTCTTACCCCACCTCTCCCCTCCCTTTCTCTCTCCTCACTCCCCTCACCCCCTCCCTCTCCCTTACCACCTCTCCCCTCCCTTCTCTCTCCTCGCCTCAGCCCTCACTCCCCTCCCTCTCTCCCTCATTTTCCCTCCCATTTCACTCACAACCAGTTCATTCACTCACAACCAGTTCATTCCACTCACAACCAGTTCATTTCACTCAAAACCAGCTTATTTCACTCAAAACCAGCTCATTTCACTCACAACCAGTTTACTTCACTCACAAACAGTTCATCTAATTTACAACCAGCTTATTTCACTCACAACCAGCTCATCCCACTCACAGCCAGCTCACTTCACTCATAACCAGCGCATTCCACTCCCAACCAGCTCACTTCACTCACAGCCAGCTCATTTCACTCCCAATCAGCTCATTTCCCTCGCAACCAGCTCATCCCACTCACAACCAGATCACTTCACTCACAACCAGATCACTTCACACACAACCAGCTCACTTCACTCTCAACCAGCTCACTTCACTCACAACCAGCCCATTTCACTCACAACCAGCTCAACTTCACTAACCCCACTCACTTCACTCACCACCAACTCACTTCCTCACCACCAGCTCACTTCACTCACCACCAAACTCACTTCACTTCACCACCAAACTCACTCTCACTCACCACCAACTCACTTCACTCACCACCAACTCACTTCACTCACCACCACCTCACTTCACTTCACTCACTTCACTTCACTCACCACCACTCACTTCACTCACCACCAACTTCACTCACTCACTCACTCACCAAACTCACTTCACTCACCACCAGCTCACTTCACTCACCACAACTCACTTCACTCCCACCCACCACCACTCACTTCACTCACCACCACTCACTTCACTCACCACCAACTCACTTCACTCCACACCACCTCACTTCACTCACCACCAACCACTTCACTAACCACCAGCTCACTTCACTCACCACCAGCTCATTTCACTCAACCACCACCTCACTCACCTTCACTCACCACTCACTTACTCACCAACTCACTCACTCACCACCAACTCACTTCACTCACCACCAACTCACCTCACTCACCACCAACTCACTTCACTAACCACCAACTCATTCACTCACCACCAGCTCGTTTCACTCACAACCAGCTCACAATCACCACCAGCTCACTTCACTCACCACCAAACTCACTTCCACTCACCACCAACTCACTTCACTCACCACCAGCTCACTTCACTCACCACCAACTCACTTCACTCACCACCACCTCACTTCACTCACCACCAACTCACCTCACTCACCACCAACTCACTTCACTCACCACCAACTCATTCCACTCACCACCAGCTCGTTTCACTCACAACCAGCTCATTTCAATCACCACCAGCTCACTTCACTCACTCACCACAACTCACTTCACTCACCACCAACTTCACTTCACTCACCACCAGCTCACTTCACTTCACTCACTTCACTCACCACTCACTTCACTCACCACCAAGCTCACTTCACTCACCACCAACTCACTTCACTCACAACCAGCTCACTTCACTCACTCACTTCACTCACTTCACTTCACTCACCACCAATTCACTTCACTAACCACCAACTCACTTCACCTCAACGACCAGCTCACTTCACTCACCACCAACTCACTTCACTCACCACCAACTCACTTCACTCACCACCAACTCACTTCACTCACCACCAACTCACTTCACTCACACAAACTCACTTCACTCACAACCAGCTCACTTCATTCACCACCAACTCACTTCACTTACCACCAAATCACTTCACTCACCACCAGCTCTCTTCACTCACGACCAGCTCACTTCACTCACCACCAACTCACTTCACTCACCACCAACTCACTTCACTCACTCACTTCACTCACCACAACTCACTTCACTCACCACCAGCTCACTTCACTCACCACCAGCTCACTTCACTCACAACCAGCTCACTTCACTCACAACCAGCTCACTTCACTCACCACCAATTCACTTCACTCACCACCAACTCACTTCACTTACCACCAACTCACTTCACTCACCACCAGCTCACTTCACTCACCACCAACTCACCTCACTCACCACCAACTCACTTCACTCACCACCAACTCACTTCACTCACCACCAACTCACTTCACTCACAACCAGCTCACTTCATTCACCACCAACTCACTTCACTTACCACCAAATTACTTCACTCACCACCAGCTCTCTCCACTCACGACCAGCTCATTTCACTCACCACCAACTCACTTCACTCACACCACTCACTTCACTCACCACCAGCTCACTCACTTCACCACAACTTTGCTCACCACCAACTCACCTCAACCACCAACTCACTTCACTCACCACCACTCATCGTTCACTTCACTCACTTCACTCACCAACAACTCATCGTTGATATGCCACTCCAACGTAGCTGCAGGTTTGGAATAAGGTGACGTGCAGTTGACGTGAACTCTCTCTCTCTCCAAGCTGGTAACTGGTCTTCACGCCCTCAGAACGGGCGTGCTGTCGGGGAGGTCTGGGGCGTGGGCGTGGGCGTGGTGTGGTGGTGGGTGGTGGTTGGGGGAGGGGGGGAGTGGAGAGAATAGGGCTTAATGTTAAAAGTTTTTTTCTCTTGAGGTAAATGGTGTGTTAGGTTGTGAGGGGTTCGTGTGTGGGTTGGGGTGGGTGGGTGTGGGTTGTGTGGGTGGGCGTGGGTTGTGTGGGTGGTGTGGGTGGATGTGGGTTGTGTGGGTGCGTGTGGATATGTTTGGATGTGTCGGAGGGGGGGGTATTTATTTGTTTGTTTGGATGTTGGCTGGTTGGTTAGTTAGTTGTTGATTGTGTGGTGTTTGTTTGTTTTCTTTGTTTGTTATTAGTTGGTAATGTGTGTTTGGTTTTCTTTTTTTATTGGTTGATTGTGTGTTTGTTTGTTTTTGGTTGGTTTTGTGTTGCTTGTTGTTTTCTTTGTGTTTTGTCGGCTGATGGTGTGTTTGTTTTTCTTTGTTTTTGGTTGTTTGTTTGTGTTTGTTTTTTTTGTTTTCTTTGTTTTTGTTGGTTGATTGTGTGTTTGTTTTCTTTGTTTTGTTTCTCGATTGTGTGTTTTTCTTTGTTTTGGTTGATTAATTGTGTTTGCTTATTTGTTTGTTTGTGTCTGTGTGTTTGTAAGTGTATGTAAGTGTATCTCGTCGGCAAAACAACAAGGAGATCAGGAAAAGAAAAATACCGAAGGCCTTCTCGTTCCAGTGCTTCTTCGGGGCAAGAAAAGGCCTTCAGCATATTCGTCTCTTTTCCTTCTATAATACTAGAATAAGGACACCAAGACGAAAGATTAAAGAAAAAGGAGAAAGAGAAGTATAAGATAAAAATGGAGAAATAGAAGTCAAAGAAAAGAAAGGAGAAAGAGAAGTAAAAGAAAAGAAAGGAGAAAGAGAAGTAAAAGAAAAGAAAGGAAAAAGAGAAGTCAAAGAAAAGAAAGGAGAAAGAGAAGTAAAAGAAAAGAAAGGAGGAAGAGAAAAAGAAAGGAAAGGAGAATGATAAGTAAATGATAAAAATGGAAAGATGAGAAGGCCAAGAACCTTCAGCATTTTCGTCTATTCACCTACTTCAGTAAGAATAGACGAAAAAGAAAAGAAAGAGAAAAATAAACAAATGAAACTAGAAAGAAAAAATAAGAAGAACGAGAAAGAAAAACAATAAAAATGAACACAAAGATTAAAAAGAAAAGAAAGAGAAAAAGAAACAAAAGAAACTAGAAAGAAAGAAAAAGAAGAACGATAGAGAGAAACACAGAATAAAGAAGAAACACCGAGACGAAAAAGAAAATAAAGAGAAAAAGAAACCAAAGGAACTAGAAAGAAAAAGAAGAACGAGAGAGAAAAACAGAATAAAAAAGAACACCAAGATGAAAAAGAAAAGAAAAAGGAAAATAATAAAAGAAACTAGAAAGAAAAAATAAGAAAAACGAGAGAGAAAAACAATAAAAATGAACACCAAGATGCATAAGAAAAGCAAGAGATAAATAAACAAAGTAAACTAGAAAGAAAAAAATAGAACAAGAAAAAAACAATAAAAAAGAACACCAAGACGAAAAAGAAAAGGAAATGAAACAAAAGAAACTAGAAAAAAATAAGAAAAACGAGAGAAAAACAGAATAAAAAAAGAACACCAAGACGGAAAAGAAAAGAAAAAGGAAAATAATAAAAGAAACTTGAAAAAAATAATAGAACAAGAAAGAAAAACAGAATAAAATAGACGAAAAAGAAAAGAAAGAGAAAAATAAACAAAAGGAACTAGAAAGAAAAAGAAGAACGAGGGAGAAAAATAGAATAAAGAAAAAAAAGAACAGACGAAAAAACAAACAAAAGAAACTAGAAAGAAAAAAACGAGAAAGAAAAACAAAATAAAATAAAAGAAAACAAAAGAAAACTAGAAAGAAAGAGAAGAACAAAATAGAGAAAAACAAAATAAAGAACAAAACAACAACAACAAAAAAAGCACTCACCTATCACCGTCATGTTTCCCTCCCCGATCTTGGTGTGGAACAAAGGTCCTTCGGTAATAACTTCACACTTGTACTTCCCTGACGTTTCCAGCTCCACGTCCTTGAGCACCACCGTCACTGCGCTGCTCATGTCAACCTGGAACGAAGGAGGGAAGGGTGACTGTCATGTCAACCTGGAACGAAGGAAGGAGGGAAGGGTGACTGTCATGTCGACCTGGAACGAAGGAGGGAAGGGTGACTGTCATGTCACCTGGAACGAAGGAGGAGGGAAGGGTGACTGTCATGTCACCTGGAACGAAGGAGGAAAGGGACTGTCATGTCAACCTGGAACGGAGGAGGGGAGGGTGACTGTCATGTCAACCTGGAACGAAGGAGGGAAGGGTGACTGTCATGTCAACCTGGAACGAAGGAAGGAGGGAAGGGTGACTGTCATGTCTACCTGGAACGAAGGAAGGAGGGAAGGGTGACTGTCATGTCTACCTGGAACGAAGGAGGGAAGGGTGACTGTCATGTCTACCTGGAACGAAGGAGGGAAGGGTGACTGTCATGTCAACCTGGAACGGAGGAGGGAAGGGTGACTGTCATGTCTACCTGGAACGAAGGAGGGAAGGGTGACTGTCATGTCAACCTGGAACGAAGGAGGGAAGGGTGACTGTCATGTCAACCTGGAACGAAGGAGGGAAGGGTGACTGTCATGTCAAACGAAGGAGGGGAAGGGTGACTGTCATGTCAACCTGGAAAAGGAGGAGGGAAGGGTGACTGTCATGTCAACCTGGAACGAAGGAGGGAAGGGTGACTGTCATGTCTACCTGGAACGAAGGAAGGAGGGAAGGGTGACTGTCATGTCAGCCTGGAACGAAGGAGGGAAGGACTGTCATGTCCCTGGAACGAAGGGAAGGTGACTGTCATGTCACCCTGGAACGAAGGAGGAAGGGTGACTGTCATGTCAACCTGGAAGAAGGAGGGAAGGGTGACTGTCATGTCAACCTGGAACTGACTGTCATGAGAACGAAGGAAGGAGGGGAGGGTGACTGTCGTGTCAACCTGGAACGGAGGAGGGAAAACTGTCATGTCAACCTGGAACGAAGGAGGGAAGGGTGACTGTCATGTCACCCTGGAACGAAGGAGGGAAGGGTGACTGTCATGTCAACCTGGAACGAAGGAGGGAAGGGTGACTGTCATGTCAACCTGGAACGAATGGAAGGAAGGGTGACTGTCATGTCAACCTGGAACGAAGGAAGGAGGGAAGGGTGACTGTCATGTCCTGGAACGAAGAGGGAAAGGTGACTGTCATTCAACCTGGAACGTGACTGTCACACCTGGAACAAGGAGGCATGTCAACCTGGAACGGAGGAGGGAAGTGACTGTCATGTCGACCTGGAACGAAGGAGGGAAGGGTGACTGTCATGTCAACCCGGAACGAAGGAGGGAAGAGTGACTGTCATGTCAACCTGGAACGAAGGAGGCAGTTTTTCTGTCATTTTTTTGACAATTTTATTTAGCATCAATACAAACATTCTCGAATATAACTCTTGATTTTGAGTATGCTTGGCTGAGAAAGTTGATGTTAAGGTTTTCAGACGAATACGGCCATTATCATCTGACTGGAAAATCGACAATTCGCTAAAAAAAATGGACAAAATTTCAGAAAATTGTAAAAATAAAAAATTGACGGAAAAAGTGTTAGTGTGTCAGTCTATGTGTTATTTCGTGTGTGGGATGTTTGGGGAAACGTTTGTGTGGGTGGTCTGTGTTTAGGGCAAGGGGGGTGTTTGGTTGTGGGAACGTTTGCTCAAGGCCGCTCGTGTTACGGGGTAGGAACGTTTGCTCGTGACTTTGTTGTAGAAACGTTTATTCGTAACTGTTCGTGTTTAGAGAGAGAGAGAGAGAGAGGAAAAGTAGAGATAGGAAGAAGGGGAAAATGCGGTAGAACAAGGATGAAGAGAGAGCAAAGTGAGAAGAATAAAGTTTTTTTTTTTTTTTTTTTTTTTTTTTTTTTTTTTTTGCATGCGACTTCGTTAACACATATTGTCAGGAGATGCATACGCACACGGGCATAAAGAAACTGCATCCATGTACACAGATATCACACAAGCATGAATATATATATACATATATATATAAACGTAGATATATAGACATTCAGAGATACCGATGCAAATCTATGCAAGCAATAATACTGACACCTTATATAAGGTTTTACATGAAATGATAGTACAATCTGCCACCAATAAGGCTAGAGCAGATAATAATGATGCTTATTGTTATCTCAAGAACTATCATTCAATGTCTTTGGAAAATAATATATAGTGTTTTCAATAAGTAGTTAAAAGGGTAGAAGATCCAGGTCAATGGCTCTTGATAAAGGTCAATGGTTCTTGATCAAGGTCAGTAGTTCTTGGTCAAGGTCAATGGTTCTTAGTCAAGGTCAATGGTTCTTGATCAAGGTCAGTGGTTCTTGGTCCAGGTCAATGGCTCTCAAGTTAGGTGTCATTACCATGGTGAGAGTAATCATTACGTGGGGGTAATTACCACTGTGCTTTTAATAGAGCCCTTTCTAATAGTACTACTTCTCTGGAGTAAATTGATGAATAATAGCAATACGTGTATTAATGACTGAATAAGTAAATAATGAAAAAATATATATGCACAATACATAAATAAATAAATTGATACTTACCAGAACTCAGAACGAAAAAAGTATAAATCAGTTTTTTATGTATAACATGCACGAAGAAAATGAAATATTTCACAATTTCTTTCCCTTAACTCCAAAAAAATTGAAGAGGAAAGGGGTAACGGTGATGGTCACCTAACCTATTATAACAGTGTCAGGGGTAACTGTACCAAAAACTTTGAGAACAGCTGATGTAGGTGACAGCAAAGTTATTATTAATCTGTCAAGCAAGGCAGTTAAGATAACCTTAATGAGTTGGGGTATATATATATATATATAATATATAATAATATATATATATATATATATATATATATATATATATATATATAGTTTGGGGTTATCATGTTATTAGAACTTAAAGTAGTTGTTAGGGGTTAAGGTGGTTAGTTAGGACAGTTAGTTATTAGTTCAGTTGGATAATGAAGTTAAGTCGGTTTGTTATATTGCAAAGATAGAAAACAAATCTTTTCGGGACATAAAAATGGAATAAATTGTAGTTTTTTCTCTTTTTTTTTTTTTTTCTAAGGACTCGATCCGGGGGAAACAAAGTGTCATTCACCTTAAGGTCGATTATTAGTAGTTAATCTCACTATGATGCTATTATTAGAGTTAATAAGTTAGACTAGTTGTTATCCTAAAAGTTGTTAAGTTGTTAGGATGTAGCTGACAGTAGTTAGTCATGCATCGATGCTATTTTTAGTTAATAAATTAGGCTAGTTGTTATCCTAAAGTTATTAAGTTGTTAGGATGTAGTTGACAGTAATTAGCCATGCATAGATACGTGTTCTGTAAGGCTTCCAGATGTTTCTTCGATCTCATCTATACACAGATGTTTCCGGAACACAAGACCTTTTCAAATTTCTTGATTGA